AGCAGGGTATCAGCCTTGTTAGCCCTTCCTCTCAATCTTACCCATAAGCATTCAAACTTATCATCACAATCCTCGATTTCTATACAATCAAAACACTCCCTAACATACAGAGCCACCCCACCTCCTCTCCTTCCTTACCTATCCCTTCTGAAGAGCTTATAGCTGTCCATTGCAGCACTCCAGCTATGAGACTCGTCCCACCATGTTTCGGTCATGGCCACTAGGTCACAGCTGTTCTGTTGCACCACAACGGCCTCCAGCTCCTCTTGCTTGTTGCTCACACTGTGTGCATTAGTGTAGATGCACTTCAGCTGAACTGTCAAATCCACTCCTACCCTCAGCGTGCCACCCCTAGGTCTGTCTGTAAGGGGCCTGGCAATTCCCCCTTCGAACCTAGTTTAAAGCCCTCTTGATGAGCCCTGCCAGCTTATGAGCAAGAATCCTCACCCCCCTATGAGACAGCTGAACTCCATCTATTGCTAGCAGGCCTGGTGCCACTTAAGCCTTCCCATGATCCAAAAAACCACAGTTGCACCTCTGGCACCAGCCTCTGAGCCAGGTGTTGATCAGGTGTGTTTTCCTGATCCTTTCAGTTTTCATACCTGCCACTGAGGGGATTGAGGAGAACACTACCTGTGCTCCTGATCCTCCAATCAATCCGCTCCAGTGCCCTCAAGTCCCTTTTAATTGGGGACTCTTATTTGGGATTCTTTTTGATCTATCATTTAGATCCTTGATTAGTTACCAAAAGTGCACAGTCAGTACAGTGCTGCACAGTGGGCAGAAGTGGAAGTGCTAATCCCATCAATGTGGTTGTTAGGAGAGACTGAAGCTCTAAATCAGCTAAACTGTGTTAAGCATGAAGCAAGGTGTTGGGAGGCAGTTAAGTTGGGCTTTTTGTTGTTATTTAATGCTAACGCTACATTTTCAAGCCTATTGTGCCCTACCAGGCAAGAGACAGCCTCAAGGTGTTCAAAATATAAATTTAAGTAGATGAAAGAAAGGAAGAAGACACAAAAAAATATGTAAAAGGGTTTTTTATGTATGGCTTTCCATCTCCCTGGGGCAGGCAGAGGTTAATTTGTTCTCGTGCTATCTTGCAGCAACTTGGGGAGCTAAAAGAAGACTTTGGAGGCAAAGAGATGTCAGACAGGGTGAAAAAGATTCAAAAGACTGTGTCTGTAGATTAGCACAAGGTTCCCTCTTCACGCTTGGTTCCAACAGCCTGATCTGCCACACTGCCACCCCAGCTATAGTCTGGAGCCTACCAGTTTTCTAGGAGGAGGAGATGAGGAGATCTGATCCCACACAAGGATAGACTTGTTTGGGACACACAAACTCTCCCTGCTGGAACACAGCTGGGGAGCCTGAAAATCAACCACATTTCCGAATGCTGTAAAAACATTGTCCTTTATCTCACTGTAGGACAAATATACCAAGGGAAATGCCAACAACCTATGGCCACACTTGCATGGTACAGATGGATAAACTTAGCCTGACTTGTCCCTTAGGTGCTACCTGGGCTCTGGACATCTGAGTGAAAAATAAAAACACTAAAAAGATCCTTACCAGCAATTTGCATGAACTAGTTAATTATTCTTAAAGCAATGGGTTTCTTTTCTCAGTCTACCACACAGGAAGGCAGAAATCTTTTGTTTACAACTAGAGATGGAAGTGCCTGTGAAGACTTGGGAGTTCAGGGTCTAGTTCTGATATAAGTGTAAAAACAACAGGAAATCTCATCCGAACTGTCTTTATAGAGGTATTTTGTCACTTCTGTTGTGAGAGCTGGATAAAATCCTCAAGGTGATGACATTTGGCAGAGTATCCTAGAAATTCAACAATCAAAAAGTTACTGCTAGAAGTACGCCTGGATTCAAGAGATTCCTTTTCAGTATGGATCCCCTTTCTTTTATCCTTCCCCTCCAGCCTCTTCTTTCTACTGTTTTCTCCTCTTCCCCAGACCTGATCTGATTTCGGAGGCAGGGAAGTACATGCCAAAAAAATGTATGAAAAAAAAGAAAACCACTGAAGTGTGAGGCTTTGCATTAGCACCTTTTTCAGTTTCGAACTAGAAGTCCCTTTCTGTAGGCAAATAACCCAGCCACAGCCACAGAGGTGAAGAAAGTGGAAAACCCAATCAGATTTAGCAGTCCTGGCACAGATGGCAAATTCCTCTCCCAGAAGGTTGTAGTGATGGGCAAAGCTGGAACATCCTGTAGGGAGAGCATCCATTATCAACATAACATCTTTACTGTGAGATGCAGGATGTAAACCAAGAGATTCTTGCAGCAGAAACAGAACTGGGCTGAAACCGTTCATGTTATCAATAAGTACAGTGTATCAAATTTTTCTTCTCTGTTAAAGAGAAGAAGAGATACAGGGAAAGGACTCATAGCCCAGTTAAAAAAGTGCAGTTCTTTCTGATCCTGTGTTACAGAGTTGTCAGATGGGTGCCCCCTCTGAGTTTCTACCATGTTCCTGTTTAGGGAAGGGCAGTTTTGGTGAGTTAGGGAAAGTTTATTTTGGCTTTGCTTTAGTGAACTTAAATAAAAACAGCCAACAAAATTTTATCTCATTATCAAAACCACAGAGAAAAGATAAACCATTCAATCTACAGAAAGACTTACAATTGATTCAGGTTCTGGCTTCCAAATTTCACTGTCTGGGATTTTCTTCATAGCAAACAGTATCTGAAAATACATAACGTTCTCTAGTAAGTACCATTCATTCTTTGAAAAAGAGCTGGCTTCAATTTTTGTTTTAAAATGACATGATGAAGATAAATAACAATTGAGCACAAATCACTGCGTATTTAAATTAAAAAAAAACCCTCAGCCTTTGTACAACTCATTTCTGGGGAGGCCTGATATTTAATAAGACACTTCTCCTAGCAGAAAACAGAAACAGTAACAGAAAAAGCTCCCTGTGCTTAGTCAGTCCATGTGAGATATTGGAACTTGACTAGTCCCATGGGAACAGGCTAATATGAATATGGCTAAGAGTTAAGTATACAAGGAAAAGGCAGGCGTGCATAAACCAGTTACTGCACAGGCAACCTATATAGCCAGGAGTAGCTTGTTTTGCAAATTTTACCATGATGTAGGAAGAGGAACAGAATCCTGTGAGTGATAACAGACCACTGCTTTCAGACAGAGAAAAGCTAGACTAAAAAGAAAGCCTTTCACACTGGAAAAGCAGCCAAAGTATGAAAGATACCAGAGATCAGTAGGATAACAAAGATTATCCGAAATGATAGTCATGAAAGACAGTGAGATGAACTACTTCTACAGTAAAATAAAATGGAGGTGGTGATATTGTTTTTCCAATTCCAGGCACTTGTAGATTTAAGATTTGCTGTTGTTTACGATGGGCTTTTATTCTACACAAGATTCATAGACCCTGTCAACTTCTCACTACAGGAGAGTAAGAAATACCCTTGCATTAGATTTTAAACATATTTTCCTTTCACAAGTAAATGAGAAAAGGAAAACATCAAAATTTTTACCAGTCAGTCTCACTTGTCAGCTTCTCTGCTGAGGCCTCTAGAGGTTCTGCCATAACGTCCTTACATTGAAGGGGTCATGAAGCACTACCTCTGGAAATTTTCAGGAACCAGTTAGGTATAACCTTCACAAATAGGACAGTTTAGGGACAGCTGATCCTTGTCTTTTTAGGCAGGGGTGTGGACTAGATGAACTCTCCAGATCCCTTCCAGGCCAGTTTCTGTTCCACAACTGTAGTTTTTAGCCACAACTTTCCCTTCACCTCATAAAACACTTTTTTTGCTGCTCCATAAACTATAATATTCCTGAAAATACTTGAGCGATTGTCATTTTCTCATAAGCAAAATATTTAAGTCCTTGTTTAATGACTTTATACAAGGCTATCCCAATGGTATATCACTATGTCAATAGTACTGTTGGAAACAGTTGAGGAAGGGACTGGCTTGGTATGCAGAGCCCCAGAACTGAGCAGTTCCTTGTGAGGGCCATAACTCTCAGGAAGATCAGTAACAAAGTAGCTACTTGGGGGGAAAAAATGACTAGATGAGAATTTGGGATTTCTGTTAAAGAAGGAAGGACTTCATTCCTGGAAAATCTTCATCCTTTTTGAAGTTTATCCCCTTTGCAGGGATTTGCATCAAGATTTCAGAACACCTGAAGCTGTCAACACTCAGTTCCCATTTCACCTCCGACCAGAAGATCTTCCATTTTCCGTAGGCTATTTGACAGTGCCCCCTGTTTTCAGCTTACATCTTTACCTCTCTGGCTGCTCTTTCTCCAGCCTGTACAGCCCCCTCCATGTATCCGCTCCATTCGGTGGCTGTCTCTGTGCCAGCAAAATAGATCCTGCCAACTGGCTGCCGAATAATCCTGGAGGGGGACAAGCAATAAGTCACATCAGCCATATCAGGAAAGATAACTTAAATTCTTGTGTTAAATTTAGAATAAAAGTGTTTTAAATAACAGCAAGCACTTAAAGCTAGTAACTCCGGGTGAGCTGAGCTGGAGGGGGAGCCTGCATTGCATTTTGTTTCTTATAGTAAACACACCAGTGTTCGCATTTCCTACACATTTACACTGCTCACAGGTGTAAGGGACAATTAGTTTGAGATAAAACTTACTCTATCTCACAATTTTAGCCAGTGTCATAAATACCAATGCCAGGTATTACTGGCACAGTGTAGCATTCTGAAGTACATACCTATGATATCTGAAGTAAAAAGTAAATAAAAAAAAATAAAAAAGGATTTTATTTTTTTACTGTATTTTTTGCCAGAATTTGCAACAATTATCATTAAAATTACTTCAAACACTGAGGCCTCCATATGTTCTTCATTAAAACTGCTTTTTTACTCTAAGTTCTTGTTAAATTGTGAAAACTTATACTTCAAAAATAGGGCTATGCCACTACATTAAAAACTATGTATCTGAATCCAATCATCGATCTGACCAGTAAGCCTTTTTCTTTTTGGTAAATCTCATTTTCATGCAAAAATTTATCTTGGAGAGGACTGCATACAATGGCACACTGATTACTATATTAAGCCTTACCCGCTAAAAGGAAAGGAACAGTCCAAAGAAATCACTCATTACTGTCAATGCTGGTAATAATTAACTCTCTGCCAGTGTTTATAAAAATACCAGCTAAAGATGTGCCAGAAATGGTAACACTGATCTCAAATACCCAAAGCCAGTTTTGTAAACAGATTGTGAAAGCTTCCCAACTGCCTTCCAATAACCTACTTGGCTGTATTCACTAAATAACAAAAGTGAATAAAAATCCCTAACGATACTGTACTCATCCATCATAAAGCCCAACTGAGACAAGTGGAAGTTTATAATATCTGTTTAAAACATTCCCCAGTGATCTTAAAGGTATAAAGCGAACAGTGACAGAGGATTTATGAGCCTTTCTGAGGATATTTATTAACTTGGTCTTATCTTACTACTCTGAAGCCCTCTATAAATAGAAACTGTACCTTCCATACTGAGTCATTATGCCTGGTGGGAAGTAGGCTGTGTAGCAGCCCCCAGAATACTGCTCTTCACACCAGTTCTTCTCTTCGTAATGTACTGGCTGTAAAACAGAGATTAATTTACTGGAGGAAAGGACAAAGTCTCGAGGAAGCTAATAAAAGAACTGAGGAGACAGCAGAGAAGAATAGCTTATGATTTGTTGCATGTCAGTGTCTGACAAGATGAGCACATTTAACAAGTCTCTTAATGCAACATGAATCTGACACAATAAGCCTTAATTTTAGACACTGCTAGCTATCTTAAAAAAAACAAAACTAGCTAATCTGGCCACTGAAAAATATAACCCTCTTAATCTGTCAGTGTAAATTTATGCTTTGAGACATGTAAAGCAAAATTAACCTCTGGTGTACACAGGTATAATAATAATATGCACATTGGATACAGATATACACTGTTAAAAAATGTGAAGTGTAGCATTTCCATGATTCTGCATACAATATCTCGAGATTGGTGTCTACAATATTTAACTTGCGTAAAAGTACCCTTGAAGGATAAATGGCGTTGATCACATAAACTAAGCATGAGGTCACACAAATCCTATCCGTTATTTACCATTACAGGGAAGAGAAGGCAAGGGAAACACAAAAAACAACCCACATGCAGCAACGGATCTTAGCAATTAGTAACAGATGAAACACTACGCTCAACACAGACTGAGAAAGACAGGCAAGCCTGTCACTTCTGAAAACAGGTGAGATGTATGGTGGTAGGCATTGTGAATGCCACCCATGAAGCTGGACAAGAACATATCTGCCTTTTAACTGTTTCATAAGCTCATTCTTATCCTCCCTGACAAACACAACCCAAGACTTGCCATGACCTTCTCTCCACTCCTCTACAGAGGTCAGCAAGTGCTCCCATAGCAAGTGCCTTTCCCAAAAAGCTACGAGGGGCTGTACCAGAGCACTGCTGCATGCCGGTTTCATTCTGCCCTTCTCCAGGTCAGACAAGTCTGACAAGAGACACCATGGTTTAGATTTTGTACTTACATGTAAAGCTTCCTCTAATCCGAGAACCTTTGCATAGAGCTCACACAGCCTCGTCTTCCTACAAGAGCAAAGCAACAGAAGACTTGCATGTGAGGAAAAAGAAAACAAACCACCTCTAATATGTCCTAGTTTCAAGAGAACAAGTATTAATATCTGCTTGAACTTGAGGTTCCAGCTTTTTGAGATCCATCCTAATTGATCAGCCTCTGGATCACTAGAAATAACTCACTCAAACCTGTGCTGCGTAAGTGCTGGTTTTACCAGCAGTTATGCAAGCTGTTCCCTTAAGATACCTCTCGCAGCCCAAATCCATACATTATCCAAAGGTTCTCAGGAAAAGAAAGTAGCAAGGCATTGCACTTTTTTATCTTGGCACATAGTCTAACTTATGGCTTGTTCCTACAAACATGCAGGTATTGATAGCCTGAGGCTCTCAGGGAATAAGTACTTTATTTCTGTATCTATAAAATTTCCTCCTGTTTCAGTTTATGAGCCCATAAATCCATGAATATACATAATTCTGTAGCAAACCCCAAGCACAATTAAATTTGTTCCTACAAGCTTTTGGGTCTTACTGTTTACTGTTAGCCTGCACCAATTCCCAAATACAAGATCAAGATGAAATACTAGTTAACAACTATGAAAAACAAACACGCAAACACTTCTGGAAGCAAATCCTGTGCTCCACAGAAGGCCATGCTGGGCACAGAAATACAGCAGTCCCAGCTCTGTAACTGTACAGGCTACACTTGCAGCTATATAAGCATATGAGGAAACCAATCTATACTGCTGTATGAAGCAACCCAGCTATACAGGAGCCCAGCTACACCCATGAGCAGCTGAATTCAAAGAATACTATAGAAAGGGGATGAGGAGAAAACAAAACAAAACAAAACAAAACAAGGAAGACCTGAAGGGCCTTGAAGAAGGTGTCCTGTGCAGGTTGGGGCTTGAGGAGGAAAGTGCAAGCTGCTACAGCTCAGGAAGAGCTGTGGCCCTGGGCTGATTTTGCTGCTGGCAGGTGTCAAGCCCAGCAGCAGCAGAGGGGAAAGAAGTAGCCCATTGCTTGCACCCCAGGACAGAGAACAGGGGTGAGCCTGCTCCAGAAGCAGAAATGCAGGGTGACACAGTGACTGACCAGGAGGTCTCGGAGAGCTGCAGGACCTATATATGAACATCCCTCCGCAGTCAGGGGGTGACATGAATCCAGCAACAGCCATAACAAAAGGGATCATTTTCTTCGTCTCTCCCTAAGTGTGATGACCACCGTACCCTGCAGACCACCAGCACCTACCCAGTTGCCAAAGAGAACAAAGCCATTTTAACAGCATGTTCCATCAAAGCCTCTGCTGAGGTCTGCCCACCACCCCTCACAAATGCCCACCAGCTCCTGCTTTCAGGGTAGGTCAGTAACACCACAGGGCTTCACAGGAAAGCAAGTTATCACCTTGGGACCCATCTGCTTGTGCTCCTCCCAGCACCATGACAGGCATGAGAAGAACCCCTCTAGATCTGCCTGTGCCTTGCTCTATTTCCACACATGACTTGCAGACCCTCCAGGGAGCCTGAAAATGGCATACCAGAGGCTGGTAGGGATTCTCATGTACTGCTGACCGCAGGGCTCCAAGAAGGTGCAAGTTCACTGCTATTTGCTAACTATGTTGCAAACACACGTAGAGTTAAAGATAGCCATGCGAAAGAAATTATTAAGCTTCAGGTCAAGGGCATCTTCAGACTCTTAAGAAATTTTGACCTTGGAAGGAATTATTCATCAATAACAAGGTATTACTTGACAGAAGAAAAAAAAAACCCCACAGAAAAGCAGTTTGTAACAGATTCTATGATTGAATTGTACCAACAGCAATCTATCACTGAGGACATTCCCCTTAATAAGAGCAATCCTTGCAGATTTGCTGATCTCTCTGCAACATCTGCACTTTTAGTCCTAGAACAGTTTAAATAAATACTTATTTATGGATTTATGGTTAAGGTTACCATGGAAGACATGGAATATGCAGTGAGTAAAATCCTTATTTCTTGGCTTTTGACTCAGCTGTCAAATCGTCACCAGCACTAAGAGGAATGTTATGCCTGGAGCTACCTAGGTAGTGTCCTGTTGAGAATTACACTGCCCAGCGTGGAAGAAGTGCACATGGAGACACTCATCTCTTTTCCTTGGTCTCTTATTCCACGGCAATGTGTGACACCACCACCTCCGTTGCACAGCTGTGAAAGGTAGGGCACAACTAACCACTGTAATTACTCATTGGCACCTGGCCTGAGAAGACCAGCTGGAAGGCAGCAGTGAATTTTACTCCCTTCAGTCTGGCTTAGGCTACAAGATTGTTTCCATCCCCTCCCACAACCACTGTTCCCAGCCATGATTTAGGATAGCTGTCATGAACTCCACATCCTACTCTTCATATCCCAGGATTACTGAAAACCTTACTCCGTCATCAACATGATAAAGGGAGAGCCCAGCTTGCATGGATAGGTGAGCACAGCACTTCAGCAAGATGTATCCTCTCTAGCGTGCCACAAGAAGGCTCTCCTCACAAAAGATCCCTCCTTGCAAACACCATAGCACCCATCTAAACCACACAAACTGGTTGCACCCTGAGTTTACACTGGGAGAAGGTCTGGGTTCACACTTTGCCTTCTTCTAGACTCCAATCTCCCCTGGAAGGAGACTTGTGCTCCTGAGCAGGAGAGGAGCTGTAGTGCTGCCCAGCAGGTTCCTGCCTTGGCTGGCTGTGGCCAGGACTGCAGGAGCCAGAGAGGTACCCCTGCACCAGGGTACATACCAACCCATAACCATTCATTACCAAAGCAAAGTACTTCTTAGTCTAAGGTTTATTTCTCAAAAGACAAGAGTAAAAAATTATTTTGTTTAAAACTTGGCCATAGGCAGCAGCAGAGTCAGGAAATTGTGCTAACGCTTTTAACACCCAGGGGGAAGGAACCTTTCCTTTGTGGTGCCTTGCAAACAGCCAGGACAGCCCTTCATTTCACAGAAAGACAAGGTGTTCTCAAATACTACAAATGCTCATTGTATCTAGTATATTAACACACAGTGTAAGACACCATTTGGTGCTTATGATGGCTTAAAATGCTGGGCACACTGGATTTCAGAATACCTACACTACTTTTATTGTCAGTCACCTGCCGGGGGTCTATCTCAAAGCCTGAGTGCTGAGGAAAAGGCTTAACTGTCCATTCCTAGCAAAATTAAAAGTTCTCTGTGGTACTAGGCTGTCATTTGAAAAGACTGGGATATTAACAGCCTCATTTAGACCCATCAGCCACAGACTTCTAGACTACCTGCAAAGCTAATCTAAGATGACTACATATTCTCTAGTACTAGCTAGTACTGTAAAAATGTTTACTTGGACACAGCATTCCTTGTGGCATGCTTTAAAAACAAATGTATTTTCTCCACATCAAAATAAGGCTCTCCTCATATCCACACTCTCTACATGTAGCTTTAATTTGATCAGATACTATGAATCAGTGTGATGGAAAAAACTCATTACTTCGTAAATTCTATTTTAGTAATAAACCAAACAGCAGTACTGTATGCAGAGATTTGTTTCAAGAAGACAGTAAAAAAGACCTTCAACTGTGCCTGAAGGACATTTTTTTTTCCCAGTAATTGAGGGTGGAGAGCTGGAGGCAGCTTTTTGACCCCTCATGATGCTGAGGTCTCATTCATGGCAGCTACAGCAGCCTCAAGGTTGCGCTAAGTTATAGACACTGAAAGGACCCTCCAGGATGATCAGGAAAAAAAAAATCAAGCACAATGGGCCAAATCTGTCCCTTCTGACAAGCTTTCAAAGAGCTCAGTGCACTTTCAGGAAGGCAGAGAGGTAGCGGGGACTGGGGGGGAGGGGGCAGCGGGGTGAGGCTGGCCCTGGACCCTTTCCAGCGAGGACAGCAGAACATCTACACTCCTTTCATATTCAGCAGCTTAGAGTAGCTCTTTTGCTAGAGTCACATAAGCAGAGCAGCCCTTCTGGAAAATGAGAACCTGGACAAAAGAGCTTCCAAAGGGCAGGGGCTTGCTACCACATCTGCTGCCAGCTTGTGGGAATTCTGTAGGGCCTTGCTCCAAAACCAAGATATCTCTGTCCTTAAAGTGACATGTCTGCCTACTGTCACAACATTGCAGACAACTTCCTTCAAATTGGGGCATTTTTTTTAATGTTCTGGTCATTTACAACAAAATGTTGACTCAGATTCCATGCAGATCTCCAGTGTTTGTACTTACCTTTCTTCTCTTGTGAGACCTGTCAGTCTTCTACACTTCCGAGCAAGAATGAAGCTGTAAGAAGACCACAAACAATTTACTTCCAGTATGTTAGTATATTTCCTGCATTATTTAAAAAACCAATATCTTATGATGAGATGCTGTGATTCATAGTAGTAGGTTTTGGGTCTCTATCCAAAATACTCCTTTCACCTCTCTGCATAATGTTACATGCTCTGCCTGCTGCTTGCAGGACTCACTGTGGAAGGAGCCACTCTGAGATTCAGGTTAGAATATTTGTATAAGCTGTTTCCCAATGACCTTAATTTTATACAGCAGTGGGTGCAGGCATATAGCAACAAGAGGTGAAGCCTGGGATTCAACTGGAAATTGTTTAATAAACTTTCTAAGACTGATCATACTATCTGTCTGTTTAAAAAAGAACAGAACAAAATATAAATCAAAATTTGTTTTCTAGAATTAAAGAACTGGAAGATTTGGGGGAGGCAAAATACTTGGAGAAAACTTTACATTTGTGCAATCACCCCGTTTTCTTCTCCTTCCTCTCCTCTTCTCCAATTTTGCACTTTGCCACACAAAAAGGCAAAAGATGACAGTGAGAAAAAGAAGAAAAACAGAGTTTCATTTTTAAAATTAGCAATTAAATTATAGAAATAACTTATTTTTTGAAAGAAAAAAAATCACAGAACATATTCACCACACACTGAGAAACTCAATCCTTTAACTATTTTAAAGTATTTCCCTTCAAAAGTAGCAGGTTTTCTGTTTCAATTGTTGCCTCTAAGACAAAATAAAAAGGCATTAACTAGACACTTTCCTTGCCTCTTACCCTATTATGGCAGGAAAGGTGCCATCAGCCTTAGTGTCGTCAAGTGTTAAACCAATTGCAGCATCCTCATCTTCAATGATCATGGTACCACAATACCCTGTTAAGCACAAGGTGGAAAAGAAGTCAGGATCCATGTATCCAAACACAGGAACGAGCTTCCAAGAAGTTGTGAAATACTCAGAACTGGACTGGAAAAAGCCCTAAACAACCTAATCTAAATTCACCCTGCTTTGAGCAAGGCATGGGAACACATGACATCCAGAGGTCCCTCCCAATCTCTATCATTCTCTGATTCTATGATTTTAACACAGGGAGATATGAAAATGAAGGAAGGGAGAGCAAAAAAACCAAGTGGCATGACTCCCATCAAGTGACAAAGAATAGCACACAGCTCCCTTGCTGATCTCCAAGGCAGTGTAGTGTAGTGTTGCCTTGAGTCAGAGAAGTGCTAGATCCTCTCTAGAAGAGAAAGTTTAGATCTGAGATGTGCTGACAATTAACAATCCTTTTCAAGCATCTTTAGAACACAAAGTCAATAAAGGAATCTCCTACTTTTGAATTCATGATAGAAAAATAAATTATTCTGCAACCCAGTTAGCAAGGTAGTTATTAATTGCACTGAAACAGGTTGCTCTCAGTGAAGATGTTCAAGTGTCTCTACCACAGCTGTTTCCATATAAGGAAACAATTTCCATTTATGTCAGACATACAAGGAGATACTAATATATTGTTTTGAACAAAAGACAATGGTTCTTAAAAGAAGAACAATGGTGTTAGCAAAGCACAGTATGGGTTCTATCAGGAAATGGGAGTCATCTCTTGACAATCCATCCCAGAACAAATGGCCAGAATATGCCAGGATCCAGAACTCTTAAACCATTCACAATGATGAAGGGTGGATGACATGTGTAGACAAACACAGATGTAGACTTCTTACAACCAGTGATGAGAAATGGGTGCTATTACATTGTAGTTTGTCTTGTATTTCGTAAGTTCTAAATGAGAGCTGAGGAATCATGACAGAAGTATTCAGCATGCAAAGGGAGTCCAGGATGTCTAGCCCAGCTGGGGATGTCTATGCAAAGACACCTTCAATTAATCCTGCCCAGTGCATTGAGAAGGCAGAACTTTTGCAGGCTGATAATGGATGGGATAAAACCTCTTTCCATCTGACATCACTTGTACCTTTACATTACTGTACAAGAGGGAGAGACTCATCTCATACCCAGGTGCCACTGAAGGAAAAGGAGAGGACAACAAAGAACAACCAAGGCAATAAGCAAAAGGCATGAATTCTCTCCTCATGCCTACCTCCTTCTTTTTATTCCCCATCCACCCTCTTTTCCCAACTGATCCCTCAAGCATCTAAAACAGGAGAAGGCAAAAATGGCATAGAAGTGTATGAGGTCTCCTCCTAAGGTCCAGCATCCCCTAAACACAAAGTCTACTCTGTTACCATGTAGCCTCTTCCCTCTCTCTGTCACTATTCCTTTGAATTAAAACGCAATACCCTTCTTCCTCCAGAAAGTTTCCTTGTAGTACACAATGCACTTGATGACTGAGCCCATGGGGATTCGGTTGATGAGCTGGTTTCTCATTGGGGGCAAAGGTGGGTTGAAATGAATCTTCAAAATAAGAGCTGGGGGAATGGCACTGATCACATATTTGCTCTGAAAAAGAAATTATACATAAGCCAAATACATTCTCCACCACTTCATCCTAAGTATATTGCTCTAATGATCTTGGCAGACATCTGGGGAGGCTGCAGGGTGTATCTTCTGAAGCAATTTTGGCATTTAGCATAAGAATTGCAAAATTGAACCCTCACAAAATCCTGCTTGTTAAACATCAATCAAGCATTATATAAACAGCCATCTGTCCAAATGATGGGCAGCTGCTCTTT